TGTTCTTGATTTTCATCTTATTTTGGCCTCCAGAAGCCCAGGGGGGCCGAACACCCTGTATTTACGTTAGATTTCTTCGCCGTGTCCGCCATTCGCGTTTAACCTGTCGCAATTTTCAAGGATGCATATATTTCGTAAATTTATCGCCGGCACGTTTCACAGGCTGTCGTGTACGTCGCGCTTAAATTGGACGCATAAAAACGTCCCGGAATATTGCGTTAATAAACATCGCGTCCAGTGAAAATTCGCCTACGTTTTAATTTAACGGCATCCTCGCTCTACACGCGAAATTTCAATTACGTTCGTATCCGTCCCGAATATAGTCCTTGCTTCTTACCAACAAATTTTATTTATTTTATTGGCACACATACTTTTTATTAATAATGAAAGTATCTTGGCGTGCCTGTGAAGTTTTTGGACGGTTTGGCCACCGGTCGATTACCAATGGAAGCGGTTAACCACATTTTTTTCACTCGAATCGAACACCTTTTTGGTCTTCGCTCGAAACAAATCTCGAGAATTCTGACGAGATGAAAAAGAAACCAAGAAAATTCTCGATAAATGTAATCGAACTTGAAGATCTATGGTTGACGAAAATCTCCTCTCAATTTCTTGACCAAAATTTTGCGAAAGTTCGAATGTGTAACTGGCAGTTCGTTTCTCTGTCTTTTTACATGTTTGTAGAGAACGTACGAATTAATTAAACTGATTTCCAGTCCCCAAAAGATCGAGAGCCGCCTCTCGTCCGCAAAGGGTTAAAATACCCATGTTTCGATACATGAATTTCTATGGAAACGACGAGGGTATTTGGTAGTCCCCGGCGGAGATAAGAATAAAAAGGGGTAAAAATATGAAAAAGTACGAATCGCGGGAAGACGAGGACGCGAAAGGAAGTGGCGTCGCGTGTATCCGTCGTCGGTGAAGTTAGCACACACTCGAGGCGGAGGAGCAGACTGCTTCCGGTAATGAAACTCGACGCGAAGAGGAAGTTCGAGAGAGCGAGGGAGTGAAAAATAGAGAGGGAGTAAGAGAGGGACGCGGCAGGCACGCACGTGGGGACGTTGAACGGTCTAAGGGATGCTGGAGGGGATGCAGGAGGTTGAGGTCGCATTGATTTTGTCTAGACAGGGTGGAGACTAGCTGTGGTGTCGTCCTTCGCTCACCGTTGATATTCCGGCAGCCAGCGCGGTCGGTGCACGCACCTGCCTCGCGACTGCACTCTCCGCTCGCGATCCTCGCCGGCCACCGGAACCAACAGATTCACGGTTTAACCGTCTCGTTTCCGGGTTACGGTTGCGTTTCCCGTTTGCTGTCACAGCTGGCCTCTTCGTTCGTTCCTTACGTTGCGCGAAATTCGATCGACCGCAATCGCGAGTGACGGCCAAGTGCGGTGAGACGAGTGAGAGACCAGTGGCGATTCGAACAGGTATACAGGCACGTTTTCCAAATGGGCAGTGCAACTGGAAAGGCGAAATAAACCAGCCAGAGTCTCGCTGTACTCGGTAAAAGCAACGACGAGGATTCTGGCATGAAATTTTAAAAGCTTACCACGCGAGAATCCACCCCTTAAGTGTACGCGTGCAACATGAATATGAATATTCGAAGAGATTTTTTCGAAAAAAAGATACGATTCCAGTTGTACCGCGACTTTGGAAACGCCCTGTATAACAATATCGAAGAGGAAAACGAGCACGACTCGAGACCGAGTGGTTTCGAAGACCGGGGATAATTAAAAGTACGGGAAGTCACGGTTTTCCGCGTAGCTAGATCGCGAAATAAAATGTATTTTATCAACGAATCGTCTGGCTAACGAGCTTCGGCGTTGTTCGCTCGTTACGCCGTCGCGTTAATTGAGAACACAAAGAATCGGATGTTGCTACGGGCGAACGAAAGGGAACATTATTTCCAGCGAGAGCCGCGTATTAATGTAAATTGGACGTTACGGGAACGAGCTACCGTCGCGCGATGTTCCCGTTCGCGGAACAGGCCCGTTCCCTACACGCGAGAACCGAATGCCTAACAACTAAACCGTGGATTTAGTAGAGCACCGTGATACCAACGCACAGTGATCCAAATTGCCGATCTATCGTGACGAGACCTGATTTTTTACGCTCGTCTGCTCCACGAGCCTCGAGAAAATAAAACCAGTATCGAGTAAAGCTAATTTCCTATGTTCGAATCGAGTTTCTATCGAGAGTTGTGCAATCCTTAGGAAAAATCGTGGCCCAAAGCGCGTCGTTTTCGCGTTCGCTTCCGGAGTTTCGACCGTCACGGTGTTTGACGAGGAACGAGACCTCTAGAAAAAGAAAATGCCGACCGACTGAGGGATCCTTCCGCGCGACTCGCGCCACGTCGACGAAATATTTGCGAGGCGTTCGTCGCGCGATGCCGCTGACACCAAGGTAAATCATTCGTTCTACGAGACGCGTTAATATTTAGTCGGCAAATAGTCGCACGCCCGCTCCCCGTGATTTCCTGTCTGTCGAATCGTCGTTCGCCGCGGCGATTGTTACCGAGCGAATGCGCGCGACGAGAAATATTGGAAAATGTGATCGCCTCGATAGCGCAATTTTCGTAACGCTGGATCCACCAAGAGAAATTACTCACCTTCGTCTTGTTTTCTGAAATTTCTCGTCACTGTTCACGAGGCACATAAACGATTCATTTTATAAAGTGCTTCTCTTTCTCTCTTGTTTCTCGTACAAAAATTTGTACTCACCGAGATGGGTCCGAAAAGATTAAGGATTTTCTTACAAATTCTGCTTCTTCTAATCCATTAACGAGAGCGGACTTCGGTAGGATGGTTAACGCGTTGAGCGCCGGAACGTTTCGATGGAACGTAACCTGGAAAATTATATTGGCAATTTCAATGTTTTCGATTCAATTCGGATTATTTTTCAGCGTGCGTGTATCGGTGATAAATTTTTCGAATTCCTCCCGCGCGTCCACCGAAATATCGTCGATAAAGTATCGGGGGAATTCTGTTTAAAAGAGACGTGACCCGCCGGCAGGTCACGCGGCAGACAAGGTGTTAGGAACCACTGCATTACTATATCATGTCACTATAGTAATGTACTACTGTATCGCTGCGCTCCTGTACCAATATATCGCTATGCTATTATATTGATAAATCGGTACACTGCTATATCTCTATATTACTGCATCAATATGTCACTATAGCACGATATCGGTATATCGCTATATTGCTGTATTATTACATTAACTACTATACTGTTATATTCCCATATCACGATATCACGTTGCTGTATTACTACGTACAGCAGTGGACAAAATTTATCATAATTAATGATGAAACTCAGGAAGCTCGTCGATGGTGATCAAGATATACAGAGTGTTCGACCATTCCTGAGAAACATTTTAATGGGAGATTCTAGAGGCCAAAATAAGACGAAAATCAAGGATACTAATTTGTTGATTGAAGCTTCGTTAAAAAGTTATACAAACATTTCCGGCCACACAGTATATTTTCGGTAAAGAATTTTTTTCTCGCAAGTACGTAGGATTTCGGGAGTATGTGTATTCACCAAAACTGATTGTAATTGACCCCTCTAGCTAAAACTAATTTTTTCAGAACGATTTGAAATTTTTTTTTTCGCCAAAAAATTTCAGTACCTACTCGAATTTTTTTCTCGAAACTGGTTAGGAATTCGGGGGTATGTGTAATGACCAAAAATGATTGTAATTGATCCTTGCAACTAAAAATAATTTTTTTTATAACGATTTAAAAAATTTTAATTTTTCAACAAATTTCACATCTACTTGAATTTTTTTCTCGAAACTGGTTAAGATTTCGAGTATATGTCTATTCACCAAAAATGATTGTAATTGATCCTCGGAACCGAAAATAATTTTTTACGTGAATGATTTGAAATTTTATAATAACTTAAGCAGGAGACCCTGGGAAAATGGAAAATAGAAAATTTAATAATACCCTTGCACACATTCCACTCACACAATGGCAAGAGTGTATGTAGAATTAATGTTTGAATATTTATAAAATGTTTGATCAAGGTACTAAGAGTATTGGCTGTCCGTAAATAAATATTCACATTGTTCCTTACGCGATAGAAATTTCGCTTTAAACGGCTGACAGCATTATAATTAGTTTCGTAATTTCGGTAGATTCGCAATCTTCGTTTCTCATTAAGGATGAACACCGTTACGGGAACGTTCGACAAAAGGCCTTTCGACGAGCTACGAGTTAACTCGCTTCTAAGACGAAGAAACGATAACTTATTATGATTCCTGTTTAATTACCAAAACAGAGGAAGCGGTTAATTGGTAACGCTCGGTAACAAAATCGACATTAATTCTTGTTCGATTCGAATTTATAACTTGCTCGGGACGGTATCGATAATTCTTTTAATTAAAAACCAAAATCGCGGTCGGCGTTTCGCATGAAATTTATCGCGAAAACGAGCGTGACTGGGGAAATTAATTCGCCGGTGTCCCGCTGCTATCGGTTCGTTCGGAAAATAACAGATAAAAGAAAATTTTGCTCGATCACGATATAAGAAATCTTTCGCTACCGTATCTCCCTAAATTGTACGAAATAAATACTATTTTTCTTCTAATTCTTTTCATTTTGCAACATTATCGAACGAGAATTTACTCCTCCGATTATTCTACCTTGGAAACCCGTTTTGCTTCTTAAAATATATTTTGCGAAAAGTTGCCACGATTCGTTAATATTCGTTAAAAAATTGTAGCCAACGTAAGCTCATTAAAATGCAAGTTACGAGGTTTCTCCTTCAAAGACTCCCTCCCCGCGGTATATACGCTGATTATCGCAATAAAAAATATGAAGCGCTCTTCTTTCCAGAAAAAAATCTAGTGCAGTTATTTTTTACTGAAAATAGAAGCGAAAGACACGACGTCGCGAAAATTGAGAGAACCATTTAATACGAATATAAAATACTGAAAATACGAACAACGTGCAACCGACGATCGTTTACATATTATTATTTCTTATTTTTCAGGGACCCCCTCGACTCCCATAATGCCAGGGGGCACGCCTGGAACCCCGTCTTCTAAAACAAAGGTAAAACACACAGTTTGTTCGTAACAATATTTTTTAAATCGATTCTATAACCGAGATCGGTGTGTATTAATTAAGTGTACGCTAAACGCCAATGTTTTAGGACAAAATAATGATGAGAACGAAGGTCGTGGTAGCTCTGTACCCTTTTCGAGCGATCGAAGGAGGCGATCTGTCTCTCGAAAAGGTAAGTGAAATTCAATCCCAGCTCTTTGAAGACAAAATCAGGCCATACGCATCGAGTTCTCAATTTGCATGGAATAAAATTTACGAACACAGAGGCCCCGCGCAGCGTGTTTTTATACGCGCTTAAATCACGATCAAAGAGTCGCATACCGACGGATATTTCTGTAGTGCGATTTTAATCGCATCGCGGGACACCTGAAACGCGAATCGAAACAGCATAAAGCGAACGATTCTCGATATATTCAGCTTTGAATTGACCCTCGATATCCCTTCGTGCTTTGTAAAGATTAACCGATTATTGTGATTTAAGTTGATCGAAACGAACCGAACTATCCAACTACATCGGATACTCGAATAAACGATAGAATAATTTATTACGGACGAAACGCTCGACAGGAAGCAATTTATTCGGGACAATTCGAGCAATTCGCGGAGATGCTTTTAAACATATTTGGGGGAACGTTCTACGCGACCAAGTAGACACACAACTGCCTTAATTTCCCGAAACGCGCCACGTCGATGAAAGCCCTAAAACAAGTATGACACGTCAGGTTTCCAACACGTTTAAACTTATAATTACATCGACGATCAACCTTTCGCACGGCTGATTCCTGTGGTCGGATAACGGTCTCGATAATGTCCCGCGTCGATCGCATTACCACCGAGTTTCGTGCGAGCATCGTTGGAATTCTGTGGATACCGGTTATCCTCTAATATGCGGAGAAACCGCTTCCAGATCCCATTAACACTTGGACATCGCCATTGACGCCATACGGCGCTTTATCAAGCGCTAAATCAACCGTGGTACGTTTTACAGGTTTCGCTGCTAAACCTATCCGCGTGTACCGATCATATGCGTCGCGATCCGATTTCGTGGACACCTATCTCGACCAAAAGCTCTCGTTGCAAGGGAGAAGGTTCAGGCATTCCTGTTAATAAATCGATACCACGACGATATCATCGAAGATAAACGATAGAAGCAATAAACGCGAAACGCGTTCCCCGTAGCTCGAAGAAATCCGGTATATCCTCTTGAACGGAAACGTTCTCGGGTTTTCGCTCAATTTCATCCGGTCCGATGATACACCGATGCCACGCAGAGAGCGTTTCGCGATAGGAAAAACTGGGTCGACCGGAATACACGGGAAATATAGAAATCTCGGGAACAAACATGAGTGACGTGGGAACGGGAATGATACGGTTAGCCGGAACGTCGAAATTGTGGCCTCGCGGTTGATGTAACGTTATTCGATTTCTAGACCGGCGCAAAAAAAAAAAAAAAAGCGTTTCGGAAGCTCGCGGAAGGCTGAAAGCTTCCATAAGACCGCTCTCGGTGTCGCTAAACGATTAAAATCGTTCACGCTCCCGCCCAAAGGCCGCCAGAACCGGGGGGACGTTTCGAAATCAATTATTTACCGTCAAGTTATTCGATTTACGGGATATTTTCGGAGATAGAGGCGACATTTATGGATTATCGTTTGGAAAGCAGCAGGTTTTTTTTTTTTATTTTAGGTTAGCCGGAGCTGGGTAAAATTTACGGAGAAAATATTTCAAACGGTAAAATAATATCCCGAGCAAGCAATCTTTCCGGGAAGAAAATATTTCATTTTGATCGTTTAAACCGTAAAATACTTTCCCTTTGTTTCATGAAATATACGTTATGAAAATTACCAGACGATTGCATCGATCGCTCATAAAATTCACCCTCCCCGTAGAACCGATATTCCAATTTCCAATATGGCGTATTTTTCGGAGGACGACAAAAGTCGCTGCCGCTCGTCCGTAAAGAAGCGAAAGCTTTCATAACCCTGTAGCTTATGGCAACCTATATAACTCTAGAATATACACGGTTCGTCAGAAGCAAATGATCTTCTGTTATTTCAGGGCGCAGAGTACGAGGTGCTGGATGATTCTCAGGAACATTGGTGGAAAGTCAAAGATGAACACGGGTACGTAAACGTACTGTTACATTTGGCGAACTAACGTGCCGGATGGAAACGAAAGGAAAATAGTACCTATAAGACGCATCCATAAACGTTCGAAAATATTACGAGCAGTATCTGAACCATCCAAGCTCTTTGCATAGAAAGATACAGGATGTTCCGCCAACCTAGGGAAAAATTTTAATGGTAGATTCTAGAGGCCAAAATAAGACGAAAATCAAGAATACTAATTTGTTGATTGAAGCTTCGTTAAAAAGTTATTAATGATTAAAGTTCTGCTCGTACTGAATTTTTTTCTCGAAAGTGGTTAGAATTCCGGGGATATGTCTGTTCACCAAAAATGATCGTAATTGACCCTTGCAACTAAAAATAATTTTTTCAGAATGATATGAAAGTTTTTAATTTCGTCGAAAATTTCTCTACTTACTACATTTTTTTCTCGGAAGTGGTTAGGATTTCGGGAGTATGCGTAATGACCAAAAATGATTGTAATTGATCCTTGCAACTAAAAATAATTTTTTCAGAATGATTTGAAAATTTTTTTTTCGTCGAAAAATTTGTCCACTTTACTGAATTTTTTTCTCCAAAGTGAGTCGGAATTTTGGGGTATGTGTAATGACCAAAAATGATTGTAATTGACCCCTGCAACTAAAAATAATTTTTTCGGAATGATTTGAAAGTTTTTAATTTCGTCGAAAAATTTCTCCACTTACTGAATTTTTTTCTCGAAAGTGCTTAGGAATTCGGGGATATGTCTGTTCACCAAAAATGATTGTAATTGACCCTTGCAACTAAAAATAATTTTTTCAGAATGATTTGAAAGTTTTTTTTTCGGCGAAAAATTTGTCCACTTTACTGAATTTTTTTCTCCAAAGTGAGTAGGAATTCGGAGATATGTATAATAACCAAAAATGATTGTAATTGACCCTTGCAACTAAATATAATTTTTTTAGAATGATTTGAAATTTTTTTTTTCACCGAAATATTTTCCAGTCGGTATGGAACTTTAAACGTTAATAACTTTTTAACGAAGCCTCAATCAACAAATTGGTATTCTTCATTTTAGTGTTATTTCGACCTCTATAATCTCCCATTCAAATTTTTCCCAGAGATGACCGAACAGCCTATATAATAAACGAAAACAATTTCGCGTTTGATTGACTCGACGATAATTGAAGAAGCTCGTAGATTTATATAAATTTTGATCTCGATTTCAGGGAGCAAACTGAATAAAAGTTTTGTAAATTTCACTCCAATTTGGTCGAAACTTCGTATCACCTTTATGCGATGTTCTCTCTATTGAAACGGTTTAAAGAAAGGGATTTTGGAATGATCGAAAGCCTGTGCACACGTTGCATGTCCCGGGGTCTTTCAAAGTCTCGGTTTTCGCCAGTCATCGCGTTTCATATTCCGTAATGACTACTTAGTATGCCCAAAAGCGGATTACTCGCAAGGGCTGTGTTTGTTGTGCGCTGAATGGCCGAGAATTCGAGGCACAGAGCCGGCCTTGATTCGTAAACACGAGTATAAGGAAACGTGGCTGGTGTCAAGGAAGCACGAGCCAAGGAGAACTAGGACAGGATACGATATTACTATGCGCTTAATCGATGCGGACGTGCGTAAAATTTCTGATCGTAAATTCGTGTCGAAATTGAAAATGCTATACCGAACCACCGAGCGATCGTCTCGAGGAATGCTCAAACAAAAAGCCTCCTAATCACACCGTTCGATTAATTGTAAAAAGATAGAAAACAATTACTTGGACCTGCATTCTTATACTCGCATGGTTTGCTGTCTGATTTCAGATCCATTGGTTACATTCCTAGCAATTACGTGAAGGAAAAGGAACTTCTGGGTCTTCAGAAATACGAGTAAGCGCGGATCGAACTTTGCTTCGAAGGAACGGGACTCGTAAACGATACTAATCGAACGTGTGTTTGAAATTACAGATGGTACGTGGGCGACATGTCCAGACAACGCGCAGAATCATTGCTCAAACAAGAAGACAAAGAAGGATGTTTCGTCGTTCGCAATTCTTCCACCAAAGGACTTTACACGCTTTCCCTCTACACTAAAGTGTAAACATCGTTTGTTTGTTTTCACTATTTACACAAATTGCCAGATATTATAAAAGACGCCCGTATTGTTACAGCCCTCATCCTCACGTGAAACACTATCACATCAAGCAAAATACAAGGGGAGAATTTTATTTGTCTGAAAAGCATTGCTGTGGCTCTATACCCGACTTGGTGAACTATCACAGGCATAACAGCGGAGGATTAGCCAGTAGGTTGAAGACCAGCCCTTGCGATCGTCCAGTACCACCAACCGCTGGTCTCAGTCACGGTTTGTAATTCAGAATCAAATTTCTAGTGAAAGAATACCTATTTGAACTGCTTATTTCGCCAAGCCGTTCAACTCCACGAAAGCAAAGAAATTTATTTTAAATATGAAAAGGTAGAGTTAATCGCCTTGGTCTGTAAACGGCCGTTCCTCGAACAATTCTCATAAATTGACGAGTTTCTAATACATTTAATATGCGCTTGATTCGCAGATAAATGGGAAATCGATCCGGCAGAGCTGCATTTGTTGGAGGAACTTGGCTCTGGACAATTCGGGGTCGTGCGAAGAGGAAAATGGCGTGGATCTATAGACGTTGCTGTTAAAATGATGAAGGGAGGCACTATGTCTGAAGATGATTTTATAGAAGAAGCTAAAGTGATGACGTAAGCGAATAATCGAGTGGCTTTCGGAAGAAAGCCCTTCTTTCGTATAACTACTCGATTGCAATAACCCGTCGGGAATAAATAAATAAACGCTGAATTCTTTCGTCCAGGAAACTTCAACACCAAAACTTGGTCCAGTTGTATGGCGTTTGCAGTAAAGATAGACCGATATACATTGTCACCGAGTACATGCGACATGGATCTCTTCTCAACTACCTCCGTCGTCACGAGGGAACATTAGGAGCAAATGTTGGCCTCCTGTTAGACATGTGCATACAGGTGAAGTCGATGCTTCAACACGATTCTTGTACAAATAACATCTTATAACTTTCAACGATGAAAAAAAATATTTAAAATATTCCTGCAAACTATTCCTATAATTCTGATCGTAGGTTTGTAAAGGAATGGCTTATTTGGAAAGGCATAACTACATTCACAGAGATCTTGCTGCGCGCAATTGCTTGGTGGGCTCAGAAAACGTAGTAAAAGTCGCGGACTTTGGACTGGCGAGGTGAGGATCTATAGAGGTTTATAGTTACATATAGATCTCTTGAAATTTCTAATTTAAAACGTTTCTAGGTATGTGCTCGATGATCAGTACACCAGTAGCGGAGGCACTAAATTCCCAATCAAATGGGCGCCGCCAGAAGTATTAAACTACACCCGCTTCAGCTCTAAATCAGATGTCTGGGCATACGGGGTACTCATGTGGGAAGTGTTCACCTGCGGAAAGATGCCTTATGGTCGCCTAAAGAACACCGAAGTAGTAGAAAGAGTTCAACGTGGAATCATACTGGAAAGACCGAAAGCATGCTTCAAGGAAGTTTACGAGGTTTGTTCGCGGTTACAGTGCGACCTTTGAACGACTGTTCGGCAATCTGACGTCAAAAATTGTTTCAGGTAATGCGAAAATGCTGGGCCCATTGCCCGGAAGTGCGACCATCGTTCCGCGTATTGAAGGAACAGCTCATCAGCGTATCTCAAGGTCTGCTCAATGATTGACTCAACCTTCTACGGTATATGCGCCTATCGTCGCCGTCGAGCCGGTCAATACAAGCGGCGAAATCACCATCGCTCGAGCGATCGCCCTCGATTTTACCATCCTCGAACTCCTCATCGTCGTACAACTCGGCCACATTACCGTCATCGCGTAAAACTCGTGCGCCAGCCTCTCTACCGCCCTCGGTCGATTTTCTACACCTGTCGTCATCCACGTGTAAATTGAAAAAAGAAAGGTCATCCTCACCGAGTACACCTGGCCACCAACCTAGTCAACCATCGTCAAGCTCGTCCAACGTCTGTGACATTTGCAGTTCCTACGGGCACCCGTGGATCGAAATTTGCAAGGCGATACGAGCCACTAAAGGCAAATAATTTTTTTTTTTTTGTGTGTGTGTGTCCCGAAATACATGTGTCGTCGACTCGAACCGACTATATCGCAGCTTACACGGCAAACAGAATATTACCGATACGTTATTTCAGCCTGCAGCGCCACACTCCCCTCCCAACCCTCCGTACTCCTTCATTCGTCCTAATCTCCCGAACACGTTATTAGATGCACTCTGAACGTTTTCTCATCGAACAAAGATCCGAGTGCGTGATATTCTTGCGTTTCGCATACTAGTTTTCCCCTCCACGGTATGATTTTCAGTCTCTATTCCATACAACGATATGGATGCATTTACGAATAGAACAGTAGTATTTATTGAGTGTCCTTAAACGGATATAACTAGTAAGTTGTGACTTTTTCCGTAGGAGCATATACTGGTCCTTTTGTTATTGACTTTTTAACGAAACAGTAACATAATTCTACGAAGGAAAGCATTATTTCTGCTTAACGAATGAATTTAATAAATGAATGTTTCACTTGTGTATTATATACTATGACAATTTAATAAAATAGAATAAAGAAAAAAGAGAATTAGCAAAATTATTTATAGGTTTAGGATACCCCGATAGCGGAATCCAAACGATCATAGAAATGATCGAACCTGTCCCCGCGACGTGTTGTTTTTGCTTAAAATACGCAAGACTAATATTTTTCTGTTCCTTGTTTTACTCGCTCAATCAACTAACGAGAACCCCTGGGAAAAATTGTAATGGGAGATTCTAGAGGTAAAAATAGGACGAAAATCAAGGATATCAATTTGTTGATGGAGGCTTCGTTAAAAAGTTATTAACGTTCAAAGTTCCGCCCGTAATGAATTTTTTTCTCGAAAATGAGTAGAATTTCAGGGGTATATCTATTCACCAAAAATGGTTATAATTGACCCCCGATACCGAAAATAATTTTTCTAGAACGATTTGAAATTTTTCTTTTTCATCGAAAAATTTAGGCATTTTTTCATTTTTAATAAATTTGTTTTACGCGCTGCAGAAAAGTTGTTTAGTACTTTTTTATAGGTATCCGTGAGCTCTATTTCCCTACTAAATTTCAATGAGATACTATTGTAGGAGTTATGGCTGTTTGAAAATTGGACCATTTTTATGGAGTTTTTCTAATTTTACGGAGTCAAGGAATAAGTTTTCGAATATTTTTGAAATTTCCACATATTCTTCGCCAAAATACGCATTGTTTGAATTTTGATTCATTAGAATCGTCCAATCCGTTCAGGAGTTATGATGTTTCAAAGATTCACATGAAATTTCGAGGAACCATTTCAGGCCTCCGATTATATTTTCGATAAGGAATTTTTTTCTCGAAAGTGGATACAATTTCGTGGGTATGTGTAATGACCAAAAATTATTGTAATCGACCCCTGCATCCGAAAATAATTTTTTTAGAACGATTGGAACAATTTTTTGTTCGTCGAAAAATTTCAGCACCTATCTGAATTTTTTTCTCGAAAGTGGGTAGGATTTCGGGGTTATGTGTATTCACCAAAAATGATTGTAATTGAGCCCCGCAACCAAAAATAATTTTTCCAGAACTATTTAAAATTTTTTAATTTAATTTTTTAATAACTTACTAACTTACTAACGAAGCCTCAGTCAAGAAATTGATATTCTTGATTTTGTCTTATTTTGGCCTCTAGAATCCCCCATAAAAATTTTTCCTAGGGGTGGTCGAATACGGTACCAACGAAAAAATCTTAACCGCTAAATTTAATCGAATCGATGGTCTTAGCAATTATCGAATTCAATAGCAACTTGATAACAATTGTCAAATCACTATTATCAAAAGCGCATAGAAGTGAAATAGAAATAAACTTACGTGTATACAGAAAGGTGAAAATACATCCTCGCGAACGCATTAGGATTCTTACTGCTTCCCATTTACTTGTATGTACACTTCCAAAGTAACTTTAATTACGTTAAGTACAGCATTTTATTGCTAATGTAAAGTTACTTGAACACTATGTTAACACTTCAAACACAAATATTGTTCGTTCAAGCTAAGATTGTACGAAATTTTTACACAGAGTGCATTTGCACGCTACGGAAACAGAAATTGAGCGCGAATTCTGATTTACGTATCCGGTTTATGCGTCTTGCCGGATGTCACGTGGGTACGCGCAAACTCTTGTTCGACTTCCGCCTAACCTAGTGGATTTTAACACGATTTGTATAATTCACAAATTTAAAAGCAATTACTATGTATAATTCGTGTATAAGTGTAACTCATGATTTGTAAGAATTACCATTTATTATCACTTTCTCCTTAAAAAAAGACGACGTAATAAAATAGATGCGAAAAATTAGTATACGTGTACTGTTTTACACTGTTTGATATTTACAAAGATATTAGGGTTTAAAATGTTCATAACTGTAAAGTAAATACATGATAAACATGCGATTTGTTATCAGTTTTAATAGCATCAACTATTGCAGGTAATAAGTGTACAAAACGATGTGTATCAAATAAACCATTTAAATTAAACGTGACTTAATTCATGGCTATCCGTAATACAATTTTTTTCGGTATTAATTTGATCAAATCAAATCTAAGAAAACTACTTTCATCGTAGTTTCTTACCTCGTCGTAAAATATAATTTTTCAGAAGACAATTTGCAAGGTGCCTTAGCACAATGGCAAATCCATTAATTGCAGTGTGTCAAATGACATCAACGAACGATAAAGAAAAAAATTTGCAATTTGTACGTGAACTCACTGCAAAAGCGAAGTCTAGATCGGCCTGTGTAAGTCTACAAAATATTTACAGTTAATTGTTTATTATTGCTCCCAGTCATGAAAATTTATGGACTATTTGATAGATTGCATTTTTTCCGGAAGCATGCGATTATTTAGCGGATAATAAAAAAGAGACAATAAGTATGGCACAACCTTTGACCGGCTCTACAGTAGCATGTTACAAGGACATTGCAAAAAGTAATAAAATTTGGTTGTCGTTAGGTGGATTGCACGAGGCTGTAAGATATTCCAAACTATCCTTAAAGACATAGAAGTTATAATACTCATTCTTTAGTTAATACCTTTTTGTAATGACATTTATAGTTACCAGACAATGAACACCATATAAGTAATACTCACATTGTAATAAATAGCGATGGTGAAATTGTTGGTACCTATCGTAAAGCCCATTTATTTGACATGGATAATAAAAACACCGGGGTTAGATTAATGGAATCAGATTATGTTCTACCAGGGGAAAAAATCGAACCGCCTATACCCACACCAATTGGTAAATTAGGACTTAGTATTGTATCCTTTGTACACAAAAATAATGTCATTGAAATACGAAAAACTGCAGACACTTAACCGTAAAATTAGTGTTATGATATGCGCTTTCCTGAATTATCTTTAACATTGAGGAACATGGGAGCACAAATTTTAACATATCCATCAGCATTTACATACCAAACAGGTGCTGCACATTGGAAAACAATACTACGTGCCCGGGCAATAGAAACACAGTGTTATGTTGTGGCTGCAGCTCAAACTGGTACGCATAATAAAAAGAGAGTGAGCTGGGGACATGCCATGGTAAACGAGTTAATTTATAATATATGCATTATGAAATATTGTAAATCATTATTATTTATATCTACTATGAAATTTCACTAGATAATCGATCCATGGGGAACAGTAGTAGCGCAATGTAGCGAAAAAACGGGTATAGCTCTGGCAGAAATCGATTTGAATCTAATACAACAAATTCGAGAAAATATGCCGTGTGAAAATCATCGTAGAACAGATTTATATCCCAAAATGGAATCCTTAAAATGTCCATCCTAGATAATGTATAAATATAATTATAATTGTATTTAATAGGTTATGTATGCAACCGTTCATTTCAAGATATTAGTAATTAAGTGACAATAAAAATATTCTTTCCTTATACGAGCAAATGCTCGTATTCCCTTTCGTAATGTGCGGAATAGTTCGATATAAAATACATTAAAGGATTTAACATACATATATAAAACAGACATTTATTATGATACATCTTAATGTACATACTATTTAATGATTTATAAATATTGAATATGAATGTCTGCTTGTACCTTGAAGGTGTAGAATAAATACAATTAAATTGTTATTTTTATAGGTTCAGACAACTTTTGCACATGTCAAACAAACTGTGTAATCAGATACCAAAACGTGATTAAAATGATCTAATGAAACATAAAACACTATTTCACAGAAAGCCATGAATAATGTTATTTGTTGTGCTAGTTAAAATTATTAGTTCATTTAATATTTAATTGAAACTTTGATTATTTTTCCAAAATGGCACATACTATATCAAGATATAGATGCGTTTTGTTCATTTGTTACCTGAAAAACAATAATAAAAGTTTCGTCGAAATTTTTAGCAATTTATCATTGTTAATATTTACACACCTTCGTTAGTGTCTGTCCTGTGAGAACCTATAAGATCTGCTTCAACACCCTGCAATGCCCAATTGTGTTCGTATATTTCCAATGCTTCCCATTCTGATTTGAATGCAGCTTTTGGATCTGGTGGCATTGACATTGCAGCACCAGATACCTGATCCTGTTGAAGTCTAAAAGCATCTGCAGCATTGCTTTCTCCAAGAACAAGGGTATAAATAGAACGTAATCCAAATACATTAAGAAAGTACCAAGATGCAGATGAAACCCATGCAGCATCAAGGGTAACTAATTCTATACCACGTTGCAACATTGGTTTGAAACGCAATGTCAATGGAAATGGCACTTTGGCTATAATATTATTATAGATATTATCGGTAGTCAAAATATTTGGAATCAATTTGCTTACGAATATCTTTAATCCACTTACTTGTAACAAAACCAGATAACATCCAATTGATCCATCCACCTATGAGCACAGTTGGTAAAACATTAGTTACGTTTCCTTTCAACATATCAATAATCATATTTGGATCTGTCATTGGGTTTTGCGACACAGCACGTTTTTGTGTTTTAAAATACCCTGTTTCCTCGTTATTGAAGAAATGCCTTCTACTAATAAATGCCATTTTTGGAATATATTGGCCATTTTCTCTAAGTAATCTAGAGCGTATCATCACTTGACTGTCTTGCACTTGATGAACTTTAACTTTTTTCTGCGAGGCAAGTAATATCGAAACGTAATGACGGATTATTCCCACGAGAAACGTAATTACAACAATTGGCAAGAACACCCAACCCCGAATGTTTGGATCTAAAAGCAACTCAGCCATGCTGCTTGCTGCTGTTCCGAAATTTACACGGATGAAAGAAGAAAGATACGAAAATCAAACAACTTGAAGAACATGCTACAGAGCAAGACTACGTATACGCGATGCCGGCACAGACAAGGCAAACGAGTAGACCTTACACGGTGTAAATTACACCTTACGAACTTTCGTGGCTCAAATTTACTGTCATACCGACCTAATAATTGAGAGGTGATACTAGCGTCCTCTTTACATGGATAGCGGTCAGTTGAGAAACTATTCACTGAATTAGTGTTGATAGGCAAACAGCTGTAGTGTTGCGTAAATACATGAGAGTTGACTATGTAAAATTTATTTCTGAATCTGTTGGTAACGTTGCGAATGACACGAAAATGGTAATGGGGTTTCGAGACCTCATAAAAATGGGTCGAAAAAATACATTGGGTGAAAGACCTATTCGTATACATCGTCTTCTCTGACAATACTCTAGAATCTTTGATGAATCAATGAGAATCAAAACTAACTTAGCGAAGAAGCTCTATATTTATGATGACCTATGCAAAGCGGATCGCAGCCAATTTGCTAATATTATTCAGTTTTTAATTAATAATTGCATTACCCAGCTAAGAGTGATACGATTATTAGTTAAACGCTAAATAATATTACCCAGGTCCTCACCACGTGGAGGTTGCTGCGAATGGAGACCCGCCCTAACCGATTCCCAACCACCCTCCATTAATAAAACAATCGTTGGTCGAAGAAGCAATAAACGAAAGTGCAACCAACGAAGGAAACAACCAACAAAAGAGTTTTTAGAGAAAGAATGTGTCTCTAATTTCTCATCAACAAAACAGAGAAATAGACCAAAACATTGCCTGCCTGATATAATGATTAATATAGAGAACCAAACTCCTGCCTAACTATAAATCTAAATTTACTTACATCCTACCTATCTAATCATCTAACAAAATACATAGAAAATATATTCTTACTTGTTGATCCTTAGACGAAGATTTCCTGAAACATACTGTTACATTGGGTGAAAGGTCTACTCGTATAATTCGTATGTGATTCAGGTTTCGATCACTTTCAAATAAGTAACTTTCGGCATACTTAGTTCTATTTCCCACCGTGAACGGCGTTTGATTCTTATTTCATTCTAAATCAATAGCGTTGAAATGGCAAGGAGGTTGATCCTAACAGTTTCCCTCAATAGCGAATGTATTTCGTAGTTCGAAAAATGGATAAATAGAAATTGATTGCTGATCGAGAATTTTAGAGAGTTAAAGATTACGAGTCCCTCTGTAGACGAGCGTAGGAGGTGCTGTCATAATCACTCTATAGTTACTGACATCTATGAACGGTATCAGAAACTTGTCGCCAAACACTTTGTTTTGAAACTGCAAGTGTTGTTCGTTGTGTTCGTGGTTATTGCAACGCTCCGTATAATAAAAATTGGGCTTCTTTCGTTAATTAATTACATTTTACTCGAGTATTCAAGAACGAAGTTTCCGTAGATTGAGTGGTAAATCGAATCTGTGAACTGTGCCGTAGTATCGTGGTTGCATCATTTTTGGTAATATGTACATTGAATTTCAGGTAAAAATTTTCCTGTGAGAGAATTTCATCGATTGAAATTGTTTAATTTCGCCAATGTATCGATACAATGACGCGATACCTGGCTGGTAATAGCTCCAGGTCCTTTCCTTTAGACATTGAAAGACACTGGATTAGATAAGAGGGCGATACAATTATGTTCGAGTTGTGATTGGCCGTGACCGAATAGGTAATTTTCCGTCTGGAATGAACAATAATTCGTCAGTCGCGTTTTGATGCGAATAGACGAGCGGCGTTGGTATATAAGCAGGTGAAAATACATTATCTATTATACGTTGTATACAATTCTAAGCGGAACTATTGCTTCGACACTCGTAATATCTTTGCATCAGACAATAGACGATACGAATTCAGTGTAATTATGTAAATCGCGTAAGTACCTGTGCCGAATTTCGCGCTGTATTCGATATACGTGAATATAATTACGAGTCCAATCTTTTATACGGAAAAAATACAAAGTGTTCGACCATCCATGGGAAAAATTTTAATGGGTGATTCTAGAGGCCAGAATAAGTCGAAAATCAAGAATACCAATTTGTTGATGGAGGCTTCGTTAAAAAGTTAATAATATTTAAAGTTCCGCCAGTACTGAATTTTTTTTTCGAAAATGCGCAGGATTTCGGAGGTATGTTTATTCACCAAAAATGATTGTAATTGACCTCCGCAATCGAAAATAATTTTTCCAGAACGATTTGAAATTTTTTTTGTCCGCCGAAAAATTTGTCCACTTTACTAAATTTTTTTCTCCAAAGTGAGTAGGATTTCGGTGGTATGTCTATTCACCAAAAATGATTATAATTGACCCTTGAAACTAAACATAATTTTTTCAGAATGATTTGAAAGTTTTTAATTTTGTCGAAAAATTTCACACCTTCTCGAATTTTTTTCTAGAAAGTGGGTAGGATTTCGGGGATATGTGTAATGACCAAAAATGATTGTAATTAACCCCCGCAACCGAAAATAATTTTTCCAGAACGATTTGAAATTTGTTAATTTAATTGTTAATAACTTTTTAACGAAGTCTCAGTCAAGAAATTGACATTCTTGATTTTCGTGTTATTTTAGCCTCTGGAATCTCCCATTAAAATTTTTCCCAGGTTTGGCCGAACACCCTGTATACCTTCAATCGTGCACGTATTTTTAATATTATATTTTAACACGCAAAGTACGACAGGTATTTTACAAGTGGCGCTCTATATTAACATTTTATCAATTACAACGCCTATGATGCTTTGTAATAAGTTGCGTGAGACAATTATCTGCGTTTGATCGACTAATCACGCGGTGTTGTGCGTTTCAGCCGAGAAATCCTAATGTATACAGAGTTTTCAGATTCCCCGACGAATTCTATTCTTGTTTGGTGATTTACTATCGCGAGCATCGTTTGCACAATTTGCCAGGGGCGTTTTGCATCCGTTAAAAGGAAAAGCGAACTGTAAAAAGGAAACTAAACAAAATGACCACGGGACTGAAGACAATGGAGTTTTTAAAATTAAGTCGACGTATGCGACGACGCTTGGACGCTCGTAACGGTGAGTAATCGAATGACAAATATTGCCTCGGTTCGATCCGGATCGCGGTACGATCAAACGATTCTCGATAACACGCCGAAACGCGATTCCGCTTAACATCTTGGCAACCATAAGCGTACCAACACGAACTCAACGTACGTAGACGTACCGTTAAGCCTATTAGGATTCAAAGTATTCGTTTGTTTTGCATCGTATCAGTTGTTTATTATCCATTGGCTCTGTCGATAAAAGAGACAGCTCCCAAGTCCATTTGTTCCAATTTTTCAGAAAATTATAATCCTCCGCAGACATCAAAGTATATTTTCATCGTTATCGTTATTGTTTCGATCGGTATCGTTCGACGCTTCTTTCTCGCCAATCGGTCATAATCGTTACAAAAGAATCGTGTAAAAAGAACTATGCATAGCGTAAAAGAAGGTTTAGACATAGTTTGGGAACCTCTGGTCCAGAGGTTAATCAACTAAGACCTTCCTTACGCGGTACTATTTACAGCACGAGATCGTCAGATTCGTTTGCATACGCCTATAATAGAAACACAAGTAAAACATACATCGCACGCGATACCGAGACGCTCAACCATCGAAATCGTTTTCCCGTTTAGGTTCGAGATTTCTTTATCATTTTTCACCTAGAATAATCCAATATCTAAAGTCTGCTTCATTAATCGATCCATGATTTCATTCTGGAATCTCGACCGTGATAACCGGCTGACCTAATCATTCGGCTAACTGCTGTACCTCAGTTAAAGTTTCGCCAAGATTTTCCATCGGGTCTGTGCATGTTTCTCGAGCAGTAATCTATGGACTTTATTTTTCCACGATTCAATGCTCGTCTTTCTTCTCTATCATTTAATGTTTTCGCTCTGACGGTGGGGAGCTTATTAATCAGTATTTTATCACTATTGTTTTTACTTTTTGCTGCATCCCCATGCTGTGATACGTGCTACCGTTTGCAGTATTAACACTAGAACCATCGACAATTATAGTGTGTTTATTTGTACCAAGGAAATTGAAACCTGGAAGTTTATTCATTCTCATTCAGAAAATTACGGTCAATTTCCAAAAATTCAGTCGAGTAAATTTTTACAGGTTTTATTAGAAATTACGAACGGGTCATTTTGACTGGTTTGGTAGTTCTGGTGTTAAATAATAAACGTAGTTTAGAGTGCATTTGTGAATTTATAAACATTACGTTTCGATACAAAGATAGAAATCGAAAGTTCGTTCCCTGATATCTGGCAAGCTTGAATGCGTGGGCGTTAATACCGATCCAAAAGTCACGTCGTGTCATTCGAGCGTTGGCTGTTCCCGGTTATGTCGGATGGAAAATTACTACATCGTTTTCTCTATCACATTTAATTTCGTATTAATTCTTCGTAACTTTGTCATTAATATTGCTATCGTTTGTTCGGGATTATATAAACCCAGAAGATACCAAAGTTTTGGTAATAATTCATTTTTACCACCAACGTACACGAGTGGCTTGCACGTTTAGTTACCTAACTTAGATTCAACGCTAGAACTACCAACAATTATTGTGTACTTATTTGTACCAATAAAATGAAAACGATAGATACTCGAAGAAATAAATAAATAAATTCATTCTCTTACAGAAAACTACGGTAAATTTTCAAAAATCCAGTAAATTTTTTACAATTTTCATTAGAAATTACAAACGAGTCATTTTGTCCACTTCGGTGGTTTTAGAGACATAGCAGAGACCCTAAGTCTACGGTGCCAGGTATTCGATAAAAACACGATCGCGTCAAATTTAATGGATCTATTGCTCGCTGAAGCAACTCGCAACTTAAATCGCCAGAAGTGATTCAAGTTGCAATTATGCGACGCTGTTTGCCATGCTTACCAAAGTCCGTCGCGATTTCATTCCCGACCGTTCAATAATTTCCTTCAGTCGCGGACCGCGATACAATGAATTACGGTCCTCTCGTGTTTCTTTTGTAACGGGTACTGAAACGTTCAATAATTCACCAGGCGAAGCCGCAAAATCGTGGACGGGATTTATTACGTGCATTGTTTGTCGCATAAACGCGTAATGAACGCACATACGCGAGTACCTTATCTCGTACGCAGTTACATAAAAGAAGAAAAGGAAAAAAAGAAAAAGAAAGAAACGAACTACTGAAATATAATCTCGGTCGAGGGAGATGAAGCAAGGACCGAGACCCAGAAGCACTCATTTCTTTGTAAATATCGTGGTCGGACAGCGTTCGTCTTTACACTGTGCAGATTAGAAACATATAGACTTCAGATTAGAAACATCAGTCTTTGGCATTGCTCTTTCTACGTTTGTCGCGTTCCCATTGGTATCTGTAGTCTCGATAGTTGCTGGATAGTTTTGATGCGTGTTCGTTGAAATAGCACGAGGAAAGAGTCGCGTTGGGTGCGAATCAGTGTGTACCTAAATACTCTGGTACGGGGAAAGTATAGGCGTTCACGGAAAAATGGATTTCGTGTAACACGATCGCAGAAATAGTGTGTACGGGTGTTATAAACGTAAATTTTCTATTCGTACAGTGAGCGATCAACTTCTTGCTGGCGGCGAGAAGAAAAAAAAAAAACTATCGTTGGACGTTGACACGAACATGCTGAAAATTGGATTCATCGGTGGAGGGAAAATGGCCCAGTCTTTGGCCAAGGGTTTCATTCGCGCGGGTAAAAATAACATTCAATATGCACGTGCTCGATAGTATTATCATCGTCTTTGGACTGTTAATAATCTCTATGGCACTCTAGCTTTTCATCCAGGCGATGTACGTTTCCGTAAATCGGCGTTCTCGTGGAGCTGATTTATTTTAATGGTACACTGTTTGCAGGCTTGAGCAAGGGTGAAAAGATGCTGGCGAGCTGTCTTCCAAACGATGTGGGTAGCATAGATACGTTTAAGGTAGGTCGATTCTTGCTTTCGTAATCTTGAAAAAAAAAAAGAAATTTGTCCTTCCTTCGATTTCGTTTGCATCGTTGTATACTCGATATATAGATAAAAAACGATAAGTGATAGTTGACCGATCGTCCGCGTTATCAGCTTCGCTTTTCGTTTCGAAAACACATCAAAACAATAAATATTTTTCCTTTGCTCGGTAAACAGATTTGAAAATTGTCAACTCGGATCGATTAACCTGACTAACCGATCGATATGATCTCTTTCTCTCTGGTCAACGAATTTTAAACAGTAATTGGTATTCTTTAGGAATAAACTTTTTTTCTTATTTATTCGTGTACACTGAGATAGAAGGTAATGGAGAACAAATCATTTACTTGGAGTACGGTAAATTAAAGTGTTACTAATAAATTGTAAATGCGTTTTATTGATAATTATCACGATACCGCTTAATCTTGATCTTAAATTGTTTCTAAACGTATTCGTTAGCTATTTCTTGGAATCTAAAGCATAAAATAGATTACTTGTAGATTAAATTCCCGATTATAGTTTCGCGGTCATTATCGCACTTAGGAAAATTACCAATATAGTAGCCTTATCTTTCTTTCACGATTCTGAAATTTAGTTTAGGAAACGAAACCAATTTGTGATTTCTGAATCTGATAACACAACCATCGATCCGCGATTGTTCCACTCTACTTATAAAGGGTTCCCGAAAATTATGTAAATGTAATCGTTTGCTCTTCAACGATTGCGATGTAATTTTAGGAAATAGGCTCGAATACTGTATTTACGAACGGACCCGTGGTTGACTATGGCGACGTTCTGATTTTATCGGTAAAACCACAAGTGGTGCCACAAGTTCTTCCGGATTTAAAGAACTATAATAAACTTTTGCTATCTATCGCTATGGGCGTTCCATTGTCATCGTTAGAAAAGGTAAGTATTTCAAATTTGAATTCATTACTAATACAGGGTGTTACGTAAATAACACCATTGCACATAATACTATGCCTTCATCTATGATCTACCGAAATCATGTATACAGAGTGTTCAGCTATCCCTAGGAAAAATTTTGATGGGAGATTCTACAGGTCAAAATAGGTCGAAAATCAAGAATATCAATTTGTTGATGGAGGCTTCGTTAAAAAGTTATTAGTGTTTAAAGTTCCACTCGTACTGAATTTTTTTCTATGAAAGTGGGTAGGATTTCGGGGTACGTCTATTCACCAAAAATGCTTGTAATTGACCCCGGTAACTAAATATAATTTTTTTAGCATGATTTGAAATTTTTTAATTTCGTCTAAAAATGTCAATATCTACTAGAATTTTTTTCTCGAAAGTGGGTAGGATTTCAGGGGTATGTTTATTCACCAAAAATGCTTGTAATTGACCCCTGTAACTAAATATAATTTTTTTAGCATGATTTGAAATTTTTTAATTTCGTCTAAAAATTTCAGTATCTACTAGAATTTTTTTCTCGAAAGTGGGTAGGATTTCGGATGTATGAGTATTCACCAAAAATGATTGTAATTGAGGCCCGCAACCAAAAATAATTTTTCCAGAACGATTTGAAATTTTTTAATTTAATTGTTAATAACTTTTTAACGAAGCCTCAGTCAAGAAATTTACATTCTTGATTTTCGTCTTATTTTGGCGTCTAGAATCTCCCATTAAAATTTTTGAAATCTACATCGAAGAGTATAGAAATTCTGACATTATTACAGATACTACACTCAAAATGTTTAGCATTTAATAATAATTTCAGGCTCTACCAACTGGAACGCCAGTGATAAGGGTAATGCCCAATACACCGGCCCTCGTTGGTTGTGGTGCAACGGTGTATGCTCGTGGAAAGAATGCCGGCGACAAAGAAGCTGAAATAGCAGAGAAATTGTTTTCTTCCGTAGGTATTTGCGAAGAAGTGTCTGAAAACTTAATCGACCCTGTGACTGCTTTGGCTGGCTCCGGACCCGCGTATGTAAGTAACGTTAAGAAACTGTTGCAACACTTTTGATGCAAATATTGTCCCGTTGCTCAGGTTTATATGATGATAGAGGCATTAGCTGACGGTGGCGTAAAAATGGGACTTACGAGACCGGTTGCTTATAAGTTAGCCGCGCAGACTGTTTTAGGTGCTGGCGCCATGGTTAAAGAAACTAATATGCATCCAGCACAACTGAAAGACGACGTCGCCTCGCCAGCAGGTTCGAAAATATTATATTTTACATTACATTTATTTTTCCAGCCTCGTCGACATTTACGGGCCCCTCTTTTCTTAACATTTTACCTTTAGAATCAATTGCTTTATAGGTCCTTAATGAAAAGTCCAGTGTCAATTTATTTTTTTTATTTAGGATCTACCATAACGGCGATTCATTATCTAGAAGAACACGGTTTGAGATCGGCTGTAATCGGTGCTGTTGAAGCAGCAACGAAACGCTGCAGAGAATTCAGTTCTAGTTCAGAAAGTAGTTAGAATCGATTCTGATAATGACGGAATGAAAATATTGGCAACAATTACAGCAAAAAAACAAAGGAAATAGAAAAAGTAGTTCTTAAATTTCCAAGAAGAAAATTAAATCGCGGCGATAACGCGTTTTAACTTGCTACGTTTTCGCGTAACTTTGTACAATTTCAGTTGTGCTGTCTACAGGAAACGAGTGGTCTAATCTTTTTTAGAAATTTTTTGTATACTTTGTAAATAGTTTCTTTAAAATATTAAACGTTAAAATTGCAATTTATTGTTCGTTTACAACGTAGCAATTAAAAATATAGATCTGTTATCTCTTGACAACAACTTATTTTACAATGAACGTTACAGCATATAAAAATGTTATGTAAATATTTTGTATGTTTTGTAATAATATTTATATGCATATGCCTTTGTATAAAATTAAGCACAGTAGTAACCATATTGAAAAAAGGTTCAATTTAAACCTTATAATAATAAACTTTAAACAGATTACTTAATATACAATCTAAAATACAATCTTATATATACCGATGTATAAAAAATTGTCATTTTTGTATTCCTATCCTAAAAAATATTTTATAATATAAATACACAATGGAATTAAGCCATCTGATATTTATTAAATACTGTTCCAAAGTTTGGATTGCCACAATTAATATTATAAGTTGTTTTTCGTAATAATGTTTGAAGAACAGAATACGAATTAAGACATTTCCGAGGCATCCCGTGATATAAAAATTAGTCCTCATGACAATTCTTATCATTCAGTTATCGTAGGAAAATACATATACATTGAGTTCATACATACCCTCGATCGTATTTTATGGAATTGCTACGGTTTTACTATCCGTAACATTTGGCAATTGTGCGTTTTCTTTATGCTTCGTTTGTTTGAAAGTGAGGTTAAACTCCGTCTTGAACATCTCTCTGTAATAACTCTCCTTAACTATATCACTTTCTGGAACACCTTCTTCCTTACATTTCGTTACATAAAGTTTGTGCATCGCAACAATACTTAATGTAGAGTCCAAATATCTTTTTTCCGAATGATCCTTTGAATTCGTTGATTTCTCGGTGGGAAACGAATTAATATGTTCGCGCACTCTATCCCTGACACTCTCACTTTTTTTCGTTTTAGGCGTATGTCTTCCTCTTTGGTCTGGCCCTATAATTCCACCAGGCGACATTCTTTTTTTGTCCATTACATGACGCACAAATTTCTCAGACACTGCAAAAGTGCTGAGGAACATGCACTTGCACACTGTAATAAATTCCCCTTTCAGCAAAAGCGAATAGGTGAACGTAATCTGTCGACGATGCTTCGATTTAACGTTTCCGCGACACCGTGTACGTTGTTTCGGTGATTCCTTAACAGATAGTGCAACATACTGTTTCCTTTGTTCCCAACCACACGTTTTCCAAAAAATATTATGCAACTCTTCCCGTGCAGATTCGTCTATTTTCTCCGTGCAACGCATACGACATTTACAAGGAGGTCCCATGGCTTTAGCTGGCACAAGTTTCCCTATGAGTAATACATTTTTTATATTAATTTGTTCCCTTCAAATTTTCTTTCTGGTAAAAGGAAAAATTTTCGAAATATGTTAAAATTACCTCCAACTCCAACATATTCTTCACCTCTTAGTCTGGCATTTTTTTTTACGTTTACTTTCCATAACTCTGGATGTTTTGTACGTTTTAAAGGTTCCTTTATAGTTTTTAGCTTCTTTCCTTGCTTAAGTTTCATAGACTTCTTTGCATTTGATTCTTCTTCTTCTTCTTCTAATCTATCTGGTAAAGTATTTAGAGAATGATCTATGAGAAAAATAAGTATTTATAATTTATATTATTAATCAATACAGTTTTTTATATTATTAGTTTTTACTTGTTAATAGATGATTTGACGAGGGAACTGCTTCTTGTTGATATTCAGGCTGTGCATTTATACTTGTTACAGACATATCTTTCCACCATTGAACATTTGTTGACGATGCATCGATAAAGCTACCTATTGAAATCAGAATAAAAGTTAATCAAGCAATTGAATAAGAACAGTAATATGCTTGCACAAACTTTGTGCATCGGTTATTCTTGTTTTACTTGCCTATATTGTCCTGATACTTGTAGTAAGATGGCTCAAGTGTTAATGGTTGTCCTTGATTCCCATTTACTAGTCGCTCGTCAAACCAAGATCCTGATTCTTTTCTTATTATCTGTTTATCCAGATAGAGTAAATTTTTGACTGTTACATTTTGCTCCATTGTGTTATTCATTACTATTACATTATTCGGAGTTTACAGATTAGGATAAACAGTTAAAATATATTTGGAGTAACACATTTTAACCTCTTTCCCATTTCACTTTGTTTACAAGTGCTATTACTTTCAAAAACTACATAGGAACGTCTAAATTTTATTAATATTCAATTATTACATTTTGCCTCGAAAGTTTGTTCGTTTATTTGTTAGGTTATGTTACATTTTCTTGTTTTGGAGTCATAATTTATACATAGCAATCTTATAACGCATTGTTTAACAGTACGATGACAAAGACACGAATATCATTATAAATATAAAAAAGGAGAGTGGTAGGAATGAATGGAAGGACTTAAATTAAATTAAAGGTACGATTAGATGATATATATCAATTTATTTGATAAATACTATGCAAATTTATATACAAAAATCTAAACAATCGAAACTTAAATAGATGGTCAATCAACATTTATACAGTTTTGTTACGGTATACTACAATTGTTTGATGTTAATTATCAATGCTAGATAAAGGGTTGCGCATTAACAAAAAATTGTAAATACAATTCGTATTCTATTTTTCGAAAAAAAAAATAATTAGTCATTTTTGCATAGCCAGCAGTTCAGACTGCATTGTTCAGTTGGATATCGTTTTCACAGCCACCGAAGAGGTCGCTCTGAAGCAGTGCATACTTTATGAAGTCGGTATTTCAGTTCGTCAAAGGATATCAAACTGGTAAGACGAGACATCTGTCGTATGTTTTATCTGTCGTATAACCCCAGACGAGGTATACGAGTAGACTTTTCACCTAATGTATTTTTTCGGCCCGTTTTTCTTTTTAGTCAGTTGAGAAACGTACTGAATTAGTGTGATAGGCAAACAGACTAGCCGTGTGTAAATGCATATAAGTCGAGAAGTACGAATTATTCGTGATTCTTTGATTAGTTCAAAGTTGTAAATAATTTGCATGTGATCATCGAAGTGAATAATGTTAACAAATTCAAGAATCTTGTCATCTGCTACTATAAATCGACAAAAGTGTGAGTTATATTTAATTTGTACATTATATCATCATCGATCAATATGATTTTAAAATCAGTCTATTCGCGGTTTCTACCCGAGGCATCTCTATTCCTTTTCGAATACCAAGCTTCGTGAGACGTCGGCTCTTCCCCCACCGCGCCGCCTAGTTCGCGAGCGTTGCCGAGCACAGCGAAGACCCATCATTCGTACTTGGAAAATTAACGTAGCAAGACATGTCAACACGTATCGGCGTTTCGCGACCGGGGTGCGTAATTCTAACCTGTTGATTATTCCATTATTACTACTCGCGTTTTCATTGCGATCTCTTACAATACGGTTTCGACTTATCATTACTTAATTACAATAATCGTTTATGTTCTTTAGTGGATCCTTATTTCGTTTCTGTTACAGTCTCTTATTGGAATTCGAAATCATGAAATTCCTTTTTGAAATACAAGACGTGTCGGTGTATCGCGACTGACGAAGTACGTATTTCTAACCTTTTGATATTTCCTCATTATTATCAATTATTGTTTAATTATGATTTAATTTCTATTTTATTTCTGTTGCAGTCTCTGATTGAAATTCGACGCCATGGGAACTTCTATTGGCGCGTAAACGACACCATAACAGATGGCAGACAAGTCGACAAATTTTGGAGGGAGTATTGGTAACGTTTAAACAATTGTAACAAAAATTGAAGGGTATATTAATATTTATATATTTTTATTTCTTTATTAAATCATTCTTTGCAAGCATGATTACAATTTTCTGATCGGCCATTTTTAAGATAAAATATCGAAATCGTTAACAAACTTTTCATCCACTTCGATATAATATCGAAGTATACAAAAATGGCGTCGGTAGATATTGACGATAAATTGAAATAATTTATATTTAACTGTATTCTGATCGCGATTGAATATTTTCGAGTGTTATTTATTTAATGGATTGTTTATATTTCTTTATGAATTGTTCTAATTGCAATTTGCATATATATTTCGATTCAAGTTTAATAAAATGTAGTAACTGCGGAGTTGGAATATGCTATTTGAGCACAAATAACCAACGAACTTTAATTCTTGCAAATTTCGGAATATTTATAAAAATTACCGGATATTCTAACGTTCGATAAAGTAAACATAATCATGCTTACAACTCTAACTATGAAATTTAGTGATATAATATTTATAAATTGAATAATTACTTGTATTATATCATATCATTGATTGAGAATGAGAGTGGCAAACTATGTATGCAGTAGTACTAAGTAAAGCAGTATTTCTGTTGACGAACTCTTGTAAGAAGAAGAAAAACAAAAACCAGTAGGCAAAGCACAGGTGTGCTTGTTGTATTTCTTGTCTCCTCTCCCTTTGTTTTCAGCTCTTTTCTTTCCAGGAAATTTGTTGGCCGCGCGCAAGGCGGCCAGTAGATTCAGTGATTGTGCGTAGCAACAAGTTTGTTTCTCGGGGCAAAGTGACCCCGAGTACGTTGTCGTTTACGGTGTTAGACAAACGCGAGAATAGAAGCAGTGTTTCTTACGCAGTATTAAATTATTTCCAGAGCATCGTGGCTCTTCTTGTTTTCTGAATCGTGATAATAGAATCATTTGTTCGCCGATTTCAATCTTCGGTCGCGGTAATCTAATTTAATATCTAATCAAATTAATTATTTTTTCAATTTGAAATTTAAACTCCTCGTTACCGGAATTAGAGTCAGTGCATCACTGAAGAGGATTATTTTGGCGATGCTCCACGAGCAAACAATGTAAGTATAAATATATACTTTGCAATTTTTAATTAAAAATCTCTACAATTTTGACAATAGATTCTAATTGTTTTCTTACAGTTTTCTTACAGTTTCTGAACATGATCCTGGGAACCAGCAGCAGCACCCGGGGGGGTATCGGGCGATGGACCACGAGCGATCGACGTAAGTATAAATTTATACTTTGAAATTTTTAATTAAAAATCTCTATAATTTTAACAATCGATTCTAATTGTTTTCTTGCATTTTTGTTACAGTCTCTGGACCTGAATCTAACCAGCAGGACCATGCTGACTGATGGATGACTGATGGATGATTTCGAGGACTTCAAGTCATCACTGGTAAGTCGCATGCTATTTTGTTTCCTCTGGTCCCCAACCATGTTGTAGGATGAAAGATCCGAATCAACACGGGTGACCAGTTGTATACTTGCTATTTTTGACGAGTTAAGTGAATATTAACATCAACTGTTATATTTTTTAGAGCAGGTTTTAGGGTCTTCTTGTACTCGCGTTTCTTAATGTTACAAATGAATAGTACACATTATGATTATTATAAAATTTTTACAAATATACAATCTTTATAGAATATATGAAATATTTTTCTTAACTTTATATGAGTTGTATGATCGAATAGAAAATGAATTAATATAATGTGAAAACATTATATTTATCATGCGATTTAACGTGCAAGAAGGCATTTCGCGACAGGTCGATTTTCGAGTCAAAGTAACATGCATGTTATACTAGTTTCATTTTTTAAAAAATTTACTTTGACGACAGAATCGATCAAGGATTATTGAAAATTTTTTTAATAACAATTTAATGAATTCATTTCAATTTTTAAAGTAAATTATTTTGTCATGAAATCTAAATTAAAGTCTTTCATTTTAAATAATTAAATTTCAATTATAATAGTTTTATTGAATAATAGTATTTTTCGATATTGATGTATTTTATTATTGATATATTACATATTACAAGTCGAGTCATTTCAACTAAAAATTAAATACGAAATACCGTTTAGCTATTAACCAGTTTTTCTAGTCAGGATTTTCAGACTAATTTTTCCGTGTTCGTTGCCTAAGTTCATGCACATGCCCAGGTGCTATTTGCATGAGCGAAGGCAACGGGGCACGATGAATTTATTTATAACAATTCAACGACATATTGAGGACTGACATTGGCTAGTGAATCGTGCGCGACGTACTGTCCACATGTGTGTGTGTGTGGTTAGGTTGTGGAAGTGCGTCGTTTCAGATGTTTTCATAATTGTAATTTACATACAGAATTTTATAACATTAGATTTTTCTCAGTAATAATATCAAATTTAAATTTACCATTTATTTGAAAATTGTTGATCTTAATGGATTTCAATCTCAATATTTTTCAATCTTCTATAATGATACATACATACATTTTATTAAAGACTAGATTCCATATATTAAAACGTTCTATACAAATGTCTATGTATATAATATAAGTACGCAAAGATCACTAGCCCTTGTCAGTCTTAGAAACTAGTAAGTCCACAATTAGAGTGTGAATGAAGTGCTATGTCCGGGTGTCGGAGGAACCCCGGGGAGTCCTCTCTAGTTTAGGTCGCGCCCGGACATTCAGAATGAGAACCGTGGAGTGTTTGTTTGCTTGACTGAGTTTTGAAATTTTTTAAATATAGGGTTAGGTAGGTAGGTAACTTATTCTCTGGTGTGTGTGTTTAAATCTAAGTAGGTAGGGTCAGGGCAGGACTGTCCACATTAGTAATTCGGGTAGGCGCGTTTTCGCGTGGCAGTTCTGTTCCTGTAGTTACGATTTCGAAAGTAGAAATCTTGCTGATTCAAACGGTGCACTTGTGCTGTTTGTTTTGGCTTTATTTTCGACTCCTCGAATCGCGCGACTCTTAAAGTCGCTCTCTCGCGCTCGCGGTCGTGATCAGGTCCCTTTCGAAACGTTCGTTCCCCTCGAGATTCACCACGTATGCTCGACCAACAATTCGTATATTGTTGGAAGACTACGTATTGCACAAAATCTCGAGCCCGGTCTTAAGTAAGTTTCAGGCATCGGCAGGACCGCCGAAGAAAGAAAAGGCTCTCAATGAGCTGAAGAGGCCCTGACAAACTGTCTCAAGAGTGGGCTACAACAAATGGCTTTCCATTTCTTCATCTTCTGATGAGAATGGAAAGTCATTCCTGTTACTACTTTCTCACTTAACTCGTCTGTAGTTGTAGTTAGTTTATTTTTCTGACTGGCTCACGTATGCATGTACCTGATGGTACATGATTGCACCATACATGCCAACCATCCCTCCCCATAACTCGCGGTTATGATATACATAGAGTAGCGAATATGCAATAATCGCGTTTGCTTGTAGAGTTGCGAATCACTGTTTTTCGCGTTTCCTTTTCAGAGTAGTGTTGCGCCTTGACACGATATGCGATTGGTTTTTTGCAAACTTAGGTACCGAATGTTTGCTTAAAAATAGCGTTGCGAATAATTGATAAACGCGATTGCTCGTAGAGTTGCGAATCACTATTTTTCGCGTTTGCTTTTCAGGGTAGTGTTGCGTATAATCACGATTCGCGTTGCTTTTTTACTCTTTTATACATATATGTATACAATGGACATCAACCGCGTTTGCAATTTTCATGTTATAAATTAGCGTCGCGATCTTGATCAATCGTGCGATTTTTTATTTAGCGTTGCGATATTTTCAATGCCCAAATTCTACCCCAATCGTAGTACTAGTAGTAGTTAGTTTATTTTGTGGCCAGCACATGTGTATGCACATGTACCAATAGCCCCTGATTAAAGTTAGAGTTGCGAATAATATACAATGTTCGCGTTTGCTCGTAGAGTTGCGAACAAATATTTATCGCGTTGATATATTAGTGCTGCGAATAAATACGATTCGTGATTGTCTTTATGCAAACCTAGGAACCGGGCGTTTGCTTTAAAAATAGCGTTGCGAATTATTAGTAAACGCGATTGCTGTTAGAGTAGCGAATTACTATTTTTCGCGTTTGCTTTTCAGGGTAGTGTTGCGAATAATTACCATTCGCGGTTGCTTTTATTGTTACAAGTCGCGTTTGGAATTTTTTTATTATAAATTAGCGTTGCGATTGTTGATTTATCGCGTTGTTATCCCGTAGTGTTGCGATATTTAAAACGTCTAACTTCATCCCCATATGTGCCACTCTATTGTAGTTTGAAGTAGCTTGATGTAGTTAGTTTATTTCGTGCATGTATGTTTATAGCTACAACTGAAGACGCCAGCACCTGATCCAGCGTTTTTGGGCAACGCGATTTGCATTAGCGTTGCGAAACACAGATATATTTCCATTAAAGATAGAGTGGCGAATATACAATAATCGCGTTTGCTTGTAGAGTTGCGAATTCCTATTTTTCGCGTTTCCTTTTCAGGGTAGCGTTGCGAATTCCATACGCGATTGCTTTTATCGTTATTTAAGAATAGCATTGCGAATTGACTGATCGGTTTGCTCTTAGCGTTGCGAATCACTATTTTTCGCGTTTACTTTTCAGGGTAGTGTTGCGAATAATCACCATTCGCGGTTGCTTTTATTGTTAGAAATCGCGTTTGGAATTTTTATATTATAAATTAGCGTTGCGATCTTGACTTGTCGCGTTTTTTATTAATTAGAGTTGCGATTCAATGCCCAAAAGCTGGCCAAAACGTTGGCCACTGCACCAGGATCAGCGAGTAGCAAGATAGGATTCTACAAAGCCTCGAATGGTTCAACGTTATTATTAAAATTAGTGTTGCGCATGATTGAATATGGGTGCACGCGATTTAATTAATAAAGGAACCCTGTGCGGTTCATTTTACGAATAACAAGCACCATTCGCGTATACTTTTTTATATTATAAATTAGCGTTGCGAAAGAAAGAATGGTCCACTCACGGGTTGTTTGAATTTAAGACGAGTGGACGTTTATTTCTCAAAAGAAATACTGCTTTAAAGAACTGTTGTACATAGATCAATTGTTTTATTTTTTATAACGAGGTAAAATCTGTAATTTATGTCAATGTATTTTTATCACAGATTTGTGATGCATTTCAAAATGCTATATTATGATTAATTATATCGTAGATTGATTTCATGGTTCCAAAATATATATCTATATCACTAATTATTCATTATTAGAGTTGGTAATTTTATACGGGATATAATAACCTTTGCAACCAAATTGTTATTTATAAGTAGTGAATTTTTTATAAATATTCTGTATTCTTTGCATAAATCAAAGTTTGTTCGCGATCATTGTTTTAATTGATGGAAAATAGAATGCTTGCATGAAAAGGGTATGCAAATTTGCAATTCGATATTTCATATTGAGAGTTAATTTCCGCGTAGAATCGATATTTTCATTCGTTATTGCTTTTTCTGTACAAACCTAATTTCGTTTTGAATACAGTAAAATATAATTATTGCAATATATACGTTTCGAAAAATTTTCTATTTGATAAAGGAAAATAAAAATAAAATCTACGGTAAAAAATGAATCAAATTTTCAATCGATTTCGTATTTATCTTAACAGTGAGGCGAATTTAACTTTTCATTCAATTTCACGTATTATTTATGTTTTTAAACTTTTTAATATAAATTTTTACTCGCGGAAACTTTAGTTCAAATATTAATTTTATAATATCACTTTTACTATGATTGATTAGTCTATCTTGACGGTATATAATTATTTTTTTCTGTGTTCATTAATACACTTTCATTTCAGCTATTAATCCTTCGAACAAGTTCTTGTTACAGAATGTATAATCATTGAAGAATGAAATTGGAAATGGTACACATCTTGATCGTTCTTGGAAAAATATTTCATACAATTCTATTTATTGTCTGAGTTTATGTTTCAGGGAAACATCGTGGGATTAACAAAGACACCAAGAAGAAAATATTCCCTCATATTTCTTTGTTTTATATTAGTTATATTTATTGTATATGAGTGTATGTTTTAGAAAAACATCGTGGGATTGATGAAGGCACCAAGAAGAAAATATTTCCTCGTGTTTCTTCGTTTCCACAGAGTGCGTTAGAATATAAGTACAAATGTATATAGATATAAGCGTTCTCCAGCGTTTTATTAATTACTACCAAAGCGTGTGCGTAAATTTAAGTGGGAATGATTAAAATTAAGGTACATATTAGTATTCTAATATGCAAGGTCCATACGTGCAGTTGCACATTTCTGGTTGGATCTTCAGTGTCTTATTAGACACAATCATAATAAAAGCATCAATTTAAGAAGAAACAATTAATAATAGAGTACATATTGGTACTTTAATAATCAGGATGCGTACGTGCAGTTGCACATTCCAATTTTGTTTGTAAAAAACATGTGATGGGTTATTTCACATGTATCAACATTTTGTTAGGTTTCTGATCTCTTCGTCAGAGTTCGTACGTGCAGTTGCACATTTCAATTTCGTTTCTAGAAAACATGTGTATCATCTCACATGTATTGCCATTTTGTTAGGTTCTTCATCTCTTGATTGGGCAGTTCTTTTAAGAACTCTCCTTTTGTAGCTGATTTCTAACTTTTCGATAGCTTCTCTCTTAAATAGATATTCGAATTCCTCGCCAAAGGAAGGGTGGTTGGGGCGAGGCTAGGGTGGGTCTCCAGTCGCAGCAACCTCCTCGTGGTGAGACCTGGAGATTATTATTTACTATGTAATTAATAATTATATTAATATAATTATTAATTACATAGCAAATAATATGAGCTAATGGCTGCGTTCTTCTTATTTCGAGTCGCAAATACGTTTTTGTCGAGTTATTTTCTAAACAAATAATATATTACAATTTAAAATAGAAAATAGAGGATTTTCGGTGTACTTATCAATAAGGCACGTCCTTACGTATTTTAATAATCTTGATATTTTTAAACAATCTTAATCGATTGGTTACTCCAATGAAATTAATCGATTAATGCTCAATTCTGGGCTGTACAGCTTTCATTCCGTTAAAAAATACTAAAATTTCTATTATTTCATTTTCTGTCTCACTTCCACTTGTGTTTATTTCTAAATCTGTTGGTAACGTTGCGAGTGACATGAAAATGGTAATGGGGCTCTAGAGTAAAATAAAGAATACATTGGGCGAAAAGTCTTCTCGTATACCTCGTCCGTGATATAACGTAATTGAAAAACCGGTTTTGAAGTTCAATAATCAATTCGATTCGAACGTACAATTCGAACAGTAAATGTTTAGTTTGTCGCGAGATGGCAGCACGTAACACAATTACGATCGATTTGTTCGTGCGTCTGACGTTCTACGAAAATTCATTCAGAAACGTTTGAGAAGTAGCGGCTTAGTGTTTAGAGTACGATGCATAGCGTGTGGAAACAAATGTGTGTCAAGTTTGTGCGAGATGTTCAACAACGGTGACGCATGATTGTGATAAATGATAACTTAGTTAAACGATCCTGTGGACGTTGGCGCCAAGAAGCGTTCCAGTTACCGTCCGGACGGCCATACATTGTAACGTACATCTTCGGTGAGTGATTTTTAGGTTATACACCGATCAAACAACATTTCACTCATTTGTCTCGTTGATCCATCTTATTGACATTGTTCTGCATCGTTGCGATACGTATTGTTCGCACAATTGCATCGGAAATTGTTTCATGATCTGAGCTTCGCGAATATTCCTATTTCTCAAATGTTATTAAATTTGCTTTCAATCAGCATTCAATTTCACTGTCATATTATAAAAATACTTGCTTTAACATAAAGAATGACAATCGTATCAAGCTTATAAATACACAGTTTACGCATAATTATGGCAACTCCGTCGCAATTAATGTCGTTTGCGTCGTTCTTAAATATTTTCAAGGTCGAGCATGGTGGCACTGTATTTTTTTTTTATTATTTCTAATTTCTAGCCTTTTTAATAACTGTAGTCTTTTTATTATCTGTCACTTGGCGCTTTTCATTTATTTTAAGGCTTTTTTCATTTATTTGTCGTTTTTTCGCGTACATCGAATTAATTGCGTGTCTGTTGGAAATAATTATTGTTACACGCATACGCATATACGCGTTGTTATTAACAAATCATTTTGTTGTGTAAATTATCTTACGTATTGTAGGATGTTTACATTAAAACAGTTAATTTTTCCAATACCTTCGATAGCTCAGTTGGTAGAGCGGTGGACTGTAGTTGGTTCGTTCTTGGAAGACATCCATAGGTCGCTGGTTCAAATCCGGCTCGAAGGAATTTTTTTTTTTTTATTTTTTTAATTGTAATCGTCACTATCGTTATCAGCCTCCAGATTATTCAATCATTATTACAATCTCAAGATCGTAATAAAATCGTGCGATAACATAACGGAATGAAATATAAAAATAACAATCAACATTGCCGCCTTACTCAAGTTTCGCCTGTTTTTTTCGAACATCTTTTTTATTTTACAAGCAATTTTCATTTAACGATTGTTGCTTTATGCATCGAGTACTTGCTGCCACCTAGAAGTGCAATTGCACATCACGGCGCAGGCTGTTGATAATACAGTACACAAAATTGAATAATTTTATGCAAGACAAATATTTCTTGAACGTGTAGCATCTCTTGCAATCGATCGATAGGATCAGGCCTTTCATAAAAATATAAAATTTACAAAATCTCTTTCAGTCTTGTTTACAACGTCGGTACGGATAATTATCGATCTCGTCAATAAAGTGCAAATTGGCCGACTGATCAAAGGACAGTTGTCACGGCGCAGGGTATACAAATCGTATCAGTACGCTTTGCTAATATAATAGAAATGTAAAAATATCGCTACGTAAAACAAATATTGAATAGTAATATAAAATATTGCTACCGCGCCATACGACCAAATATTCGTCCGCGTGTAACGAAGAGAAAACGTTTCGCGCAACAAATGTTAATACGCAACGTGTATCGTTAACAAGAAAATCAATACCGTGCTCGTCGAAGTTAAACAAGTTCGTCGGGATATTTGTTCAATGTTACGTTCGGTTTTCCAACGGTGCAGTTTTTCGCGTAAAAAAAAAAAAGGGGGGGAAAAATGGCGAAATCAGCGAACGTTTCGACATCATCGAAGCAATAGCGAACCGGGGAAGAATTAATCTCTCGTATGATCGAGCAGATCACTCACGAGACACATCGCTGATACACTGGATCGTGCGTTCACGTTAATTTATCGACGATACCCCCCCCTCCCTAATCGTCCTTCGTAATTTATTACTAGTCCGTTCATATTTATTGGTGGCCCCGGTGGGTGCATTGTACACACGAAATTGCTTATATTGTCTGGTGGGGCTCGAGTGTGTTGCCTATAAATTATTCGCACGCGAAGGTGTGATACCTGACGCGCACCGGATAGATTGCAATTGCGTACGAAGATGATTTGATGGCAGTTTATATTGCGCTTTGTACATCCCGTATATCTCCGCGTTCGGCGACTGTGCTGTGCGCGTTTTATCTGGTCACATTAACCCAGAAACCCGTCGAGTTTCGACCGATTCGAGGGATACTTAAACGGGGAAACGCGAACGACGCTTACGATTCGGATTTGCTTTCCTAAAACTTACATTCGGATATCTTTTAAATTGCGTTTCCTTCATCGGGTGATTCTCCAGCCATTCTTCCACCGTAAGTTCCCCGTTGACTGTCGTATTGTCATAGAGACGGGGATAGTCGAGGATCGTTTCCCTTATCTCATGGTATTCCTCAGGACCATTCTTGTCAGATCCGAACAATAGTATTGCCATGGCCATAGAAACTCTTGTCAGGCTTGTTGGTCATACCCGTTATAATAGCAGCATAGTATCCGCTGCCTATTGTCCATACGTCTCAATCATTGGGATCAAACACGAATTCTGGATACACCGGGTCAAGCAGGGTCACCAGGGTCAATTATAGGGGAATTAGGATCGTGCTTTTATGCAAAGGAAGGAAAGGGAATAGTCAGATTAATGGTTTAAAGCAGCAAGAGCATTTTCACGCAGCTGTGATAGACCAGGCGTGATTCGAGCGTGATCTATCGTACCAGGTCTGTTAAAAAAATAATCGAATTTAAGGAGTTCCTGGCAAACGTTCACTCGATGTTCCTTCTGCACTTCGGGTCATCAAACGAGGAACAAACTTTGCTGCAACTCGATGCATGTTTAATTTTTCGGTCAAAACCTCATGACATGACTCGATTGATACTCCAACCTCTTCTGCAAGTTCTCTGGTAGTCAGACGACGGTTAATACACACCAGATCTTTGATTTTCTGAATGCGAGTGTCATCAGTTGACGTCGAAGGCCTTCCTGATCGAGGATCATTTTTAAATCTGGTGAACCATTCGTAACACTGCGTACGAGAGAAAGCATCGCTTCCGCTTTTGCTTCAAAAGTTCAAACGATTCCGTGAATGTTTTCCCCAGTTTTACACGAAATTTCACGTTGCATCGTTGCTCTCGGACATTGCGAAAACCGCCACGAACAGTGAAGCACGTTGCACTCAAATAGCAATAACTCGTAAACAATTTGTAAAAAAGTCAGCTACGCGGAAGATTATGGCAATTGCAGTGCAGTCAACTGTTCGTAGCTATGACGATATACAAACACACAACTAAAAAAGTTCGGTTATTTTTTCAACAGACCTCATATATTTTAAGGAATCTTTCGTAGAAATCGAAGGCTAAGCAAGAAGTTGCATTTTCCTGGATCAGTAGGGTCAATTATCATGCTTTTATGATAAGGAAGGAAAGGGAATAGTCAGATTAAAATTTTAAAGCAGTAAGAGCATCTTTACTCATCTTTGATAGATTATTCGTGATTCGAACGTGATCTATCGTATATTTTAAGGATTATTTCGTAGAAATCGAAGTCTAAGCAAGAGGTGGCGTTTGCCAGGATCACTAAGGTCACACTTTTATGAAAAGGAAGGAAAGGGAATAGTTCGATTAAAATTTTAAAGCAGTAAGAGCATCTTTACGCAGCTTTGATAAAGTAGGCGTGATTCGAACGTGATCTATTGTATATTTGAAGGATTATTTCGTAGAAATCGAAGACTAAGCAAGAAGTTGCACTTGTCAGGATCACTAAGGTCATACTTTTATGAAAAGGAAGTACAGGGAATAGTTAGATTAAAATTTTAAAGCAGTAAGAGTATCTTTACTCATCTTTGATAGATTATTCGTGATTCGAACGTGATCTGTCGTATATTTTAAGGAATCTTTCGTAAAAATCGAAGGCTAAGCAAGAAGTTGCACTTGCCAGGATCACCAAGGTCATACTTTTATGAAAAGGAAGGAAAGGGAATAGTCAGATTAAAATTTTAAAGCAGTAAGAGCATCTTTACTTAGCTTTGATAGATTATTCGTAATTCGAACGTGATCTATCGTATATTTTAAGGAATCTTTCGTAGAAATCGAAGTCTAAGCAAGAGGTGGCGTTTGCCAGGAATCGTAACGAAGTAATTTGTCGTCGCGAGGATGCAAATTAGCGTGTATAATCGTTGGGATTCCCGACGCGTAAATCCCCAGACGTCATCGAGATCCATTATCAGTAAACCGTTCGATTTACAAATGATTTGCCTCGTCAAACGTTTGCCTCCGGAATTTCGATGCCCGCCAATCGATCGGCCATTGTTGCCCGTAGCTTTTCGTCATTTGAATAACAATAATCGCGTTCACGTGGCCGCGGTTGCTTTGTCGACGGGGATTTCGCGGCGAGGGAACGGGTCGTTGATCGTTACACCGCACGCGGTGCCCGTTGGAAACCGAACGGACAAATTGCAGCGTTTTCCGTGTCGTTCCGCCTAGGTCTCCCGTAAGTTTAACGCCCGATTAGGTTTCCGGTGTCTACATCGACCACCCCAAACTCACTCCCCCCGGTGTTTTCGAAATCGCGTTGCCTTTTGTTCCCGTTAACGTCGGCGAATTAATTCTAGCCAACCGGCCAACGGGGGCGACGTTTATTGAAATTAAAACGGCGTCCGTTTTCCTATGCATTATTAATTGTTCACGGGCGATAGAGTCGAGCAACTCATTTGCGGAACGTTCCCGTCCAACGACGAAAGGATTTCGATGAATAGCTTCCCCTGATTCGACAAGATGAAACCTTGTCGTCCGTAATCGCGTTTCCAAAACTTGATGCTCGTTTGTCTTTCCGACGAGTCTCTTGGAAATTTCGTGCACAATCTTTCTTGCAATATTATTTTAAACGACTGGACCAAACGACGATGTAAAAAAAAGAAAGTTGCGCCAGAGTAACTCTTTTGAAATTGTTAGCCCCTGATACTGGTCGATTGATTGTTCGTTTGTCCTTAAAACTAGGTTCAAATTTAGGTTGCGACGAATCTTTTGGAAATTTCGTGCAGAGAAAATCACAATCTTTGCTAGAAAAGGAAAGTTGCGCCGGAGTAACTCTTTTAAAGTTGCTAGTTTGGTGCAACTTTCCTCTTCTTGCATGGTCGTTTGGTCCAGTTGTCGGGTAAATACAGTATTTGCACGAGGCGTGGGCCCGATTTCTGGCCAGGATGAA